AGAGCTAACATATTTGGTTGGATAGATGTGAGTTTGTGACCTTGGGTTTCACGCTTTAGCGATCGTCAGACAAGTCTGACGATCATCGCTAAATGAAACTAAAAACCCATCCATGAATCTCAAATATATAAAAATATATATATATATATATATATATATATATATATATATATATATATATATGTTTGTGTATATATGTATATATATATATATATATATATATATATATATATATATATGTACACACACACACATATATATATATATAATATGATAACAATAATAAGTTGACGTAAATGGTTAAAAATAAGTAAACATTATAAAAAGACAGAAAAACTAACTTAACAAACAGAAGCAGAAGTGTATCGGATAGAATGTAAATTCTGCCTCCAAAATGCATCCGTAAATAGAGTATAGTTGATGCCAGGCAAAAAATGGGATTCAGGTCAAACGAAATGAAAGACAGAAAGATTTTTTTTTTTAAAATGGTGCTGTAATTCTTTATAGTAAAAAAAAAAAAAGAAAGCAACTTACTGATAGCAAAATGGTTGATGTGTCCCAGTCTCTGAGTCTCCGATAATTATTTTAAAAATCTTTTAAATAGGTCAATTTTTTTTTTTCTTTTAGGATTGCAAGCATCCGTCAAACACTTCAACTTCAGTCGTATCTGCTGCTAACAAAATCGCATTTTGTATCAATCAGATTTACTTCCACTCGAGGTCTTTTTTTTTCTTTCCGTATAATGACCGAAATCTAAATTGTCACCATGAAACAATCATTTGCTTCGTTATCTGAGACTGGAGAGTTTTAAGTAAACAAAATTCCGTTTAGACAGTCCTTAACAAGCGATAAATATTTCTTCGCTGCTGCTGCTACCAAATTTTGACTTCTCTCTTGCCTCAAATTAATTTCTTTCAGGAAGCCCCATGAAAAAATGTCTCCAGACAGTTATTTTCGCACAATTATCACTTTTTTAATAATGTCACCAGCAAAATTATCGCAACTCTAGTGCTAAAATCTAAAAACAAGTTTAATTATGAAAATGAGTAAAGACATCATCTACACATTATAAATCCTTTTAACCCAGCGATTAGATTCGTGCAAAATATCACAGCAATTTCACATTTTTCTAAAATGACATTTTCTGATAGACTAGGGTGAACATGTAAAAAGATGTCTCGAGTGTAGAATTAAAACAGTTAATCTTTCTCTGAAGATTTGATTTCTTTGTTAACGTTTCACTCTTAACAAAAAATCATTAACCTGGCATACGTGCTAAATAGCACGTTTGCCGGCATAATAATTTTTCTTTGAATTTTTCAATTGTTTTTACAATTTATATTCTATAATTTTATATATTTTTTTCTGTTTATATCCTACAATTTTATATTCATATCCTACAATTTTATATTTTTTATATTCATATCGTACAATTTTATATTTTTTATATTTATATCCTACAATTTTATTTTTTTATATTTATATCCTACAACTTTATATTTTTTATATTTATATCCTACAATTTTATATTATATCCTAAAATTTTATACTTTTATAATTATATCCTACAATTTTATATTTTCATATTTATATCCTACAATTTTATATTTTTTTTTATTTATATCCTACAATTTTATATTTTTTTTATTCATATCCTACAATTTTATATTTGTTTCTTTTATATTTATATCCTACAATTTTATATTATATACTACAATTTTATATTTTTTGTATTTACATCCTACAATTTTATATTTTTTATATTTATATCCTACAATTTTATATTTGTTTTTTTTTTTTTTGTCTTGTTTTGTTTTTTAGAAGGCTGTGATTACTTCTTTTTAATATAAGTGTTAATGCCATTTGAAAATAAATATCAGCATATCGACATTTGTACATAGGATGTGTGCTTCTGTTGATGTGCCTTTTGTTCTTCGGTAAAATTCTTTATGATGCTGTAGCAACAGTCTAAGCGATTTGATGAATGATTATTTTCTTTAAGCACCTGAGGCCTCATTCAATTGAAGCTAATTTTAACCATTGATCTGATTAACTGAATCGTTTTCCACTGTTTATCAACCCTTGATAGTTATTTAAAGCCAGAAAATATTTTTGCATCGTAAGAATTTTTTTGGAGATAGCAAAGATTTAGTGATACAAGTCTTACTAATTAACTCATAGCTGGCGGAGAATATATGATTTCATACCTTTCCTAATGCTATTTGCGTGTAAGTGAATATAACGAAGCCAATAGGAATTCGAACTCGGCTCCCCGATTAACAATTCCGAGTTATTATCCATTATAGCACCCGAACATCTAAGCTTACAGCATAAAAAAGGGGATGCAGGTTCAAATTCTGCCGAAGGACGCATATTTTTTCTGACAAGAACTTTCGAATATTGAGGCCGTTAGATGGAGTTGGATAGAAAAAAAAATAATGTTTAATTAAAAAAAAAAAGAACTTCTGCTCGAATAAGAGTAACCAGTAACGTTTAATCAAAATAAATTAAAAATAACAATATGTCGCATTTAATCGATTCCCCCCCAAATGAATTGTTTTCGTTTGCGTTAGGATACGATGCAGAGCAGATATGAATGTTTCGAGAATCGGTAGAGAGTGTGTGTTCAAAATCACTATTCGGGTTTTGTCTGACCATAAGTCCTACGTGGCAGGACGGTTAGGCACGTCAGATATAATGGCGGTTCTACATAGGGGAATGCAGATTCGAATCCTGCCTATTTCTCTCACAAGATTTCTCAAATATTCGAGCTGGTAGACGTAATTGGATAAAAAATATTGCTTAATTTTAAAAACAAAAACAAAAAAAAACGCATCTTTTACTTGAATATAGGTATCATATAACAAAATAAACAAAATAAATTAAAAATCACACACACACACACACACACACATATATATATATATATATATATATATATATATATATATATATATATATTTAAAAGAAAAAAACAGACCGCTTTAATGTACCATTATAATAATTTATTTCACCAGAGTTCTTTTTAAAGGACGTGGATCATCAGATATCAGCCAAAAATTAAATGAAACGAGAAATTAAAATTAAAAAATTAAATTTTTCGTTTTATTTCATTTTTGGAAGTGCTATCGATGATCCACGTCCTTAAAAAAATCTGGACAAATAAATTATTATAATGGTATATTAAAGTATTCTTTTTCTTTAAATATTAGCTCTGGATTTACATTGAGCTCTCAGGATTTCATCCTCTTTGGGATTACCCATACGGATTACCAAGTTCTTCATAATTTAAATATTAATTTCAGTTGAGCTCTCTGGGGAGGAGATGTGGGTTGGTAAACAGTGACTATTATAGCTATATAGCATCCACTCTTCGCTTTGAATGCGAATTGAGTCACTCCCGGTCACTGGGCGTGTTTATAAAAGATAAACACGCTAATAATCCACTTTCATAAATTTACCGTGCGCCGATGGCTTAATGGTTAAAATCTCCGATTGACACCATATATATATATGACAGAGGAAAACTACGTTTGACATACTTAATGAGCTTGAATAAATAAATGGTGGAACAGGGTTTAGGAGAAATAACGGAAAGAGAAGATTTATTGAGCGCTATTAATGAGGAAATTGTGGAGAGCCATGAGCGCCGACAACCTGAGGGGACAAGACACAAAGAATAAGAAGACGCGTTTTCTTTCATTTGCTCTCGTCAAAATCACCAATATAACAGCCGACAAATCAAGAAGAGAAGGTTAATTTATTTTTTAACCTCCATCTTGATGTCATCTGTTTCAACTGATAGTTTCTATCCATTTTTTTATCTAAGCTAAAATACAAACATTTTGAAGAGTGAAAATTTCATTGAAATATGGTGGAAACTTTCCAACTTATCATCTTTCACCAACGACGCCATCCATTAATAACAGGAATGCTATCATTTAGCCAGCACGAAACTGTCCTTTATCAACCTCCATGCAAAACTTCAACAACCAATGGTTCCTGCTTTCAACAACCGCAAAGACATCCGTCACTAACCACAAAACCATCCTTCACCAACTATTTTGCAACAAAAAACGAAAAGATCTCTCAGGCATCTATCAAACATCCTCAATGATTCCTTCTAGATAAAGATTTTTTATGTCTGGTGGCGTGCAGTCACATTACGTTTAAACACCGTAGTTACCCAACGTCAAGCCTGATAAGTACCTAAATGGATCACCGTTTGGGAATACCAGGTGGTGTAAGCTTGGATGTGCGGGTGGTGTAATGAATAATGACTCGGAATTTCTAGTTCTAATTCCCGTTGGATTCGTTACATTCACTTATGTGAAAATACCTTTGAGAAAGTCATGAATCTACTTCTTCTCCTCCCATCTATGGGTTAATTAGTAAGACCTGTATCAGTAAACCATTATTGTCTTCAAAAAAATATTATTACAATCTAAAAATATTTTCTGCCTTTAAACAACCTGCAGAGCTATAGAAATCGAATCCACCAATCAAGCAGACATGGTGGCTTTTTGTTTTGCTTTTTTTAGACATAGGAAAACTTTATTTACGCCCCACTTATATTCAGATTGCAATACCAACCATGAAATTTTATTCAAATAGCGAAGTGCATATGAAGAAAATTGAAAACTCCAGTTTAAACAGATAGCTAGAGGACATGGGTTAAATTGATTTAACATGTCTTTCTAAAATATTTAATCTTCGTAAACAAAAATAGGCAAGCCACAAAAAAATATAATTAATTATGTAAAAGCTAATCAGTCACATCGTAAATCTTTGGCAAATGCAAGGTCAATCTCCATCTTCCTGAAGCCTGTTCCTTTTTTTTTTTTTTTACCCTTTCTTCAGTTCTCCCCATTTTCAATCTTCTAATTCACTTTCACTCCCTGTAATCCCCACCCCGCGTTTTAGTGGCACTGTCACATTGCTTGGGGTGAAATTATTAACAAAAAAAAAAAAAAAAAAAAACATTGCAAGATTGGCGTAAAATGCATTTGACAAGTGTAATCAGAGAGACACACAGATAAAAAGAGAGAACTGTGTCTGGATTGTTTAAGTGGGCAACAGATTACAGTAGAGAGTATGATATGCGATTTTGTGTTCAGCTTTGCTCTTAAAGATAAGAATAATTCTGTAATCTATTTTGACAGCGGAACAGTTTTCCCCACGTCCAGTCCTATTTGATTTTTACATTTTTTTATCACGTTGAAACACGGTTTTTCGTACGATCACCGAAGGTAAGCAGCGTCAAGCCTGGTCAGTGCCTAGATGGGTGACTACTTGTGAATAGCAAGCGTTTTAAGTTTGGAAGTGCGGTTGGCGTAATGGATAAGTCCTCAGAAATCTGAGAGTCGAGTGGAAGCTGTTTGGGAGGAACTTACTTCTCACCGATTGATTACGGATTGAATAATGGTGGTTCGTCATTCCGGAAGTGGCATGACGGATCCTAGCCGTGAATGTCAGACCTGATGGAACCAGGAAATGCAGTTCGTCTGAGCACTTTCTATGGTAGTAACAATACACTGCGTGCCAAATTATTATCGAAATAACTTTTTTCATAATATTTCAAGAACCGTCCAATCAATTCACACAAAACTTTCACACAATGTTGGCAACACTGACCTGCGCAATCACTGAAATTTTTGACTTGATCTGCGCAATGTAAACAAACTGGCGCCATATTTGTTATCAGCACAGTGTAGAGACTCGCCACATCCAGCCTGTGTGAGAGAGAGTGTGTGTGAGGGTAGGGATTGAGCATGGAAAAAATAATTCTTCTCCAACAAGGATTCGGAGACGCTTTTGAATTCTATCAAGACTAGTGAGTGGGGTCTGGATAACTCCTGCCTAAATATGATATCAATAGTCCATTTTCGGCTTGATCTTGCTCTTATAAAGGTAGAGGATAGCCTGAAGAGTCAGGTACTTACTGAGGCGGTACAGGTAGCCGATCATCTTACCTGCATCTTTACCGATTGATCGTATATAAGAATTCCACTTGAGGTCGGGTGTGAGGCCCAATAACCCTCATCGAGGGGGACATCTGTTTAATGTGACCGGTGGTAATTCATGATCTAATTGGCGGTAATGGAATGTAACTAGCTTGGTTTTGTATGTAACCAGCTACCTAGTTTTTTTCCCTACTGGGAAAGTTTTTCCCTACTGAGAAGACAGGTCAGCTGCCAATCTCTGATCGTCAAGACTTTTAGAGGTGCCTCCGTATATCGTCAAAGACGTTTACAAATGATCGGAGTATATTCTTAGGTAAATCAGAAAGAGGGTTGGTCCTATACGTAACCCCTGGTGGGTGAGGATCGCCAACGAAACCTATTCTGACTGGTCTGGTTCGTTATACACAATAGTCACCGGTAAGGGTAGGACATGATAACAAGTGTAAATGCCTTTTGTTGTTATATGATTAAAATCATATATATATATATTTGAATAATTGAATAATGTTTTTTGACGTATTTTTTAACGTCAAAAAACGATATACTTACGTCATTATTTTTGCACCAACCTAATATATATACGCCCAACAGGTAATTAAATGCTACTTGATCTGAAATCAGTTTCTGCAATTTATGCTAAATAAATCCTAAATATCTTTGTGTTTCTAACCAGACACCAAGTTCGTTCTCAGGGTGCAGCTTCTTGTGGCTTGAAAAATAATTCTTTAGTCAGAACGTTACTTACAAAATAAAATCATGAGACGAGTTTGTAGCAGTCAGCAAATTTTATTTTGTTGCGACCTTCTTGTAACGGCCGACTGTAGACGGGTGACGCGAGACGGTCTAACCGGCGTATGCCGGTTCTCTGTTTTAGACTGCTAGGGATCACTGTCTTATAGAGAGCTTATTTGTCCAATCAGTTTTCGTCTAAAAAATCATTCATACAGTCAGCTCCCCTCAACTGAGCCACTTTGTCTGGTTGATGTGAGATCTGCTTCACTCAGCTGACCTCATTTTTGTGAAGACGATAATTGTCAAAACGATTTCTGTAACTTCCTACAGTCGTTTCTTTAAATGATATCAGCTGACAACTGATATCGCTACATCAAGCAGCATTGATTCTTTCTTGCATATTCCTAAGATTTTCTTATTTAAAAAAAAGAAAGAAAGAATCAGTTCAGTTATTAAATGTTAATAAATCTGGAGTTATCCTCCCTTAGAGTGACATTTTTCTTTCTTTTTTTTTCTTTTTTTTTTTGTAAATATATATTTAATTAATTAAAAATTACTTGAAAGCAAATTAGAAATATTATTAAACTACAACTTATTTTATTTTTGAAGCAATTTAATAGGATTTCCCTAAAACAATCGGATAACTTTTTTTCTGTTTAACGTAGGAAACAGACAGCTATCTATAAATTGGGACAAATTTGTTGAAATCAGGATATTTGTCCAGCAATCACGTTTTTTCTTATTAACATTTATAGGGCGGGAACTTATCTATACCTTCTTATCTGCTTCTTTTTATCCTTCCTACTTTATTTTTTTTTTATTTCATTCCTTCCTTCTTTCTTTCTTTTTTCTTTCATTCTTTCTTTCTTTCCTTCTGTAATTCTTTCGTTCATTAGTTCATTTGTTCTTTCGTTCATTCGTTCGTTCGTTCGTTCGTTCTTTCCTTCCTTCCTTCTGTACTTCGTTTGTTCGTTCCTTCTTTCCGTACCACTTTCTTTCCTTTTTTTTTCCTTCCTTCCTTCTTTACTTCGTTCCTCCATTCCTTCCTTCCGTCCTTCCTTCCATCTTTCTTTCCTTCCATCCTTCCTTCCTTTGTGCGTTCGTTCCTTCCTTCCTTCCTTCCTTCCTTCTTTTTTCAGTCCCTACTTCTTACTTTTTTCTTTCCTTCCTTCCTTCTTTCCCGTTTTCTTTCTTTCCTTCCTTCTGTAATTCTTTCGTTCATTAGTTCATTTGTTCTTTCGTTCGTTCGTTTTTTCCTTCCTTCCTTCTGTACTTCGTTTGTTCGTTCCTTCTTTCCTTTTTTTTTTCCTTCCTTCCTTCTTTACTTCGTTCCTCCATTCCTTCCTTCCGTCCTTCCTTCCATCCTTCCTTCATTTGTGCGTTCGTTCGTTCCTTCCTTCGTTCCTTCCTTCTTTTTTCAGTCCCTTCTTCTTACTTTTTTCTTTCCTTCCTTCCTTCTTTCCCGTTTTCTTTCTTTCCTTCCTTCTGTACTTCGTTTGTTCGTTCGTTCCTCCCTTCCATCCTTCCTTCTTTCTTTTCTTCTGTATTTCGTTCGTTCGTTCGTTCCTTCCTTCCTTTCTCTCTTTCTTCCGTCGCTACTTCTTTCCTTCATTTCGCCCTTCTTTCTTTCTGTAATTCGTTTTTTCGTTCCTTTCTTCCTTCCTTCTTTCCAGCCGTCCCTCTTTCCTTCTGTTCTTCATTCTTTCTTTCCTTCCTTCCTTCCTTCTATCCTTCCTTCCTTCCTTCCTTCCTCACAGTCTCTATTTTTAACTCAGCCTCCATGAATATTTTTAAAACTACATGTCTCTCTGCCTTTTCTTTTTATCTTCTGACCTCGACCTAGATTATGTCATATACTAAGCTCGGCTTAGCTTACTACACAAAAGTCAACAAGAAGGAAACCTAAGTAATAAACCTATGCTGACCTCAAGTTTCAAATATGGAAGCCTTAGTCGCTTGAAAATCTGTATTCGAAATCGAGGCTCGAACACTTGAACGTCAGCCTGTTTTGCTAGCAATTGTTCTACGTTAAGGAAATTTTCTTCCTATATATGCCATGTCTCTTCAGTAGGTTCATGATCATGGCTCACCACAGTTTCATTTCTATGGTAGCTCTTAATAAATATTACCATTTTGTTATCTCTCATAAACCCTGATCTACAATCTATTTACTCAAGATCGCCATGTTGGTTATGCGTTGTTTTCCTCTTTCCCTCTTGTCTTTAATCTGTGAGTATCAAAATTTCCAAACCCTCTTTCCTTATTATATCCGCTAGAAATTCAAACTGTTGCTTTCTGATATCAAATATAGGTGTCATTTCTACTTCCATTTTCTCTAATACTTGATTACATGTTCAGTCCCTGGTATTCTCAGTATCATTCTGTAGAGTCACATTATTGTTGGTTTAAGTCTCTTCTTCATCTGTGAGATTGTCCAACATTCACTGCCATATAAGAGGACTGATATTACATTACAGTTCCATACTCTTTTCTTTGTTCCCAACGTAAATTCCAACGTCACATCCTTCCTTCTTTCCTTCATTCTTTCCTTCCGTACTTCCTTCCTCATATTCTCCCGTTTTACCGCAACTTCTATGAATACTTTAAAAATATATCTCACTCTTCATCCTTCTGTAGAGCCACGTTATTGTTGCTGAAAGTCTCTTCTTCATCTGTGAGATTGTCCAACATTCACTGCTGTATAGGAAGACTGAGATTACATTAGAGTTCAGTACTCTTGTAGGAATCCTTCTACTCGGTTTTTCGTTGAATATTAAAATTTGGAGTGTCGGGATTCAATACATTAATAAAATATCGTTACAGGGTCGCTCGTAATTTGGCTGTCTAGAATAATCAAACGCTTTTCATTGAAGGAATAAAATTCAGTAGAAAAGACGACGTAGTTTCAACAAATAAACATTGATTTAATATAACGATAGGAATACAAAAAGTTGGAAAGTAATGTCTTTTGTTTGGGTTAATAAAGTTCTGAAATGAAATATAAACTGTCTTTGTGTACGCGTGTGAGAAACAATAAAATGTTGTGATATTGTGTGTTTGTATGAAAAAGTCAACATGTGTGTGCGTGATTCATAATAAAAACGGATACTAGAGATACGAATTGTTTCTTACTTTTGGCGGTGTTGCCGTGATCTGGAGTTTATCAACGCTGTCGTTTTTGACATGAGGTCATGAAGGTCATCGGCGAAAAGGTGTGTGGAATTTGGTGGCAGCCGCGTGTATATTGTTTTGGGAACGGATTTCGTATGTTTTATACACATTTTCCGAACAATATCGGCTCCAGAATTAAATTATTTATTTATTTCTAATTGGCCCTAAGAAGTCACGTGGTATGTCTTCTACTACGTCCGTACGATATTTGGTCGGTATCTACCTAAAAATGATGATGACTAATACAACAAACATTCTGATTTGTAATCTATGATTTTATTGGTGTGTTTTAAGATGTAAGTGTTTTCTTGATTGTGATTGGTTTATAAATATTGTAGTTGATATTTTAGTGGACACGACACTATCTTCTTTGTTTCCAAAGTAATTTTTCTGCTTCTTAATACTTTCTTAGCTTTTGGAAGACATCTTTCTCTATCCCAATGCAACTTCAGATTCATGTTGGGCTGTTTTTTTTTATTGTTGTTTTTTGTCTTGTTTTGTTTTTGTTTTTTGTTTTTTTTCTTTTTTTGTTAACAATATTTAGTTCTTTTCTTCGTGCTTATGAAACGGCAGTTTGTGTAGGGGGCGCAGTATGCAAGGCCACAGCAGAGGTGGAATGCAAGGTAGGATCGAACTCACGGCGAATCGGTTTGTGAAACAATTTTAACAACCAGTGGGCATCATCAATAATATTTTTCATTGTAGATCAGCAGATATCATTAACGGATGATGTGATTTTTTTTCAGCGATGCTACCATCATCCTTTCATGATTTCAATCCAAATGACTAATTGAAAATCTCTGGAATTTATGAGATTGTTCTTTACTAGAATTTATGAGGTTACATCACTTACTGGCGTACTTATCTTCGGATCTCTGTACCACACTTTCTGTTTTCTGTTACTACACTATCCAGATAGTAACCTCGAATCGCGTGTCGCTATAGTATAGTTCAGTCCTCAGATTTACAATCACATGACAGACGAAGATTAATGATAATCAAATAGGCCCTTCTACTGGTAGATCAGGAATAATCAGGTTAATATTGATATAAAGCCTAGTATCCCATCTCTTCAGAATTCCCCGTTGCTTGACACTGCAAATATTGTGTACACTTGTAAAAGGATTTGTTTTTATACTTGTATGCATTCCCCATTTTCATGTAAAGGTTGTTCCAATAACTTTAATTTTAAATGTGAATTAATTTTAAGCGTCTAATGAGTTTTTTCTTTTTCTTTCAGATTTGGCGGATATTTGGGTGCAATTATTTTTTGCGCATAATTGTCATGACTTAAATAATATGATTCTTTAGACAAATAAATAAATTTTCGCCAATAACACTGATATATTAACTACTGACTTTGATCCGTCTTAATGAAACACCCTTGGGTGTTCTAATAACTTGAACCGATTTTAAATGTGAATTAAGTTTAAGTGTCTATTCTTTTTTTTCTTTCAGATTCGGCGGACATTTGGACGACATTATTTTTCACACATGATTACCTTGACTTAAATTACATGATCCAATAGAGAAATAAATAAATATTCACCAATAACACTGATTTATTTACTGCTGACTTTGATCTGTCTTAATGAAACATCCTTATATATGATCCGTCTTAATGAAACACCCTTTATTACATGAAGAAGGCAGATATTGTCGAAATATTATTAAACATTGTTAAACACTGCATTTCTTTTTTTCTTTTTCGGGAACGTTGCTTTTCTGGAAAGGATGTAAAATATTGCAAGGGTTGCATCAACCATTTTGTTTAATATCATTATTAATAATAATAATGACATCTCTATCCGATTTTGAGTCTGTGTTCTTCTCGTTCCGATTTTCTTTACAACTCACATGTTTTATCCTTGGGATTCATAACATCTTTCTATAGAACCACTTCGCCATTTCGTGTCTCTTGATAAGAAAATTTCCAGAACTCATTATCATACAAAGGGATAGATCTCGCAAAGCATATGAGCTCTACGTTCTTCGTTTCGAACAAAATCTTTATAAATCTTAATACTTTGCTTAGTTTTCTGGAAAGAAACATTTGCTATTCAAATGCAACTTCGGATCACAGTGTCACACTTTCCGTTGTCTTTTATTACACTGTGCTGATGATGTTAATATCGAATCTTATACGACTCCATATGGTATACTTAAAACCTCACTGGAAGTCCAACACTTGTAATCCTATGCCAGACGAAGAGTAATAGTTAGGAAATAACAACAACAACAACAACAATAATAATAATAGGACCTGTAACAATTTTATGAGACTTCACATGCACACAGAGAGAAAAATCAATGCTAATCGCCCAGACATCGTTATTAGAGACCGCAAACAAAAAATGTCTCTTTATTGATATGGCAGTCCCTGCAGACTGTAATATATCGTTGAAGATCTTCAAAAAGCTATCAAAATGCAAGGACCTTGAAATCGAAATCTCAAAATTATGACACATGAGAACATCGACAATTCCTGTTGTAGTTGGAGCCCTCGAACTGGTTGAGAAAGATTCTAATAGACTTATTGAAGAGATTCTTGGTAGCCCATGCCTTAATGAAATCCAAAAAATTGTTATCAGAAGTACAGCCCACACCTTACGAAGGGCTTTATCTATGTAAAATATGTGTTCTTTGTTTTTTCTTTTTTAAAAAAAAAAAAATTGTTCAGTGGAAAATGTGATGATGCCATTTCTGACCTTAGGTCTCTGGTTGGGACCCGGAAAGAAATAAATACACACGAGAAATCAAAGGAAACAAACTAATAATAATAATGAGTTTTAACCCGTGAAAATTTTAGGGGTTTCCTATTTGAATTTTCTGATGAATCTTAATCCTTCAGTTGATGATAGAATAGGCTCAAGGAGAGTTCTACAATAAAATATCTGTAGAAATTCCCCCATCGCATCGCTAAATAGTTGAAATTTCTAATAAAATCATAAGCTGCGCATTATTTTAAAAAACTGCATACAAATGACAAGATATGAAACTGACAATTTTTTCCCTTTCACTAAAACAGTCGTTAAACATTTCTATAATCCCTTTTTTACTTTCATACATTTTCTCATTGAAACCAAGTAGTGTCATTTCCTCCTCTTTTCACGCGATCAAAACAGAATAGTCCATTATTTATCAGGTATTGGCAAGGCGAAAACGGTCGTGTGAACTAACGAAGGGAGGGACAAGCACAATTATAATAAGATAATATCCTCTTATTGGTTGTTACCCTGCTACTGTTAAATCAGGGAATAATCATGCCAATGTTCGAATAAAGCCTAATATTCAATCGCTTCAGAAGTCCACGTTGCTTGGCAATGTAAATACTCTGTGAAAGGTTTTTGTTGATTGATGGATTGATTTGTTTTCTATATTTATCAGCCATTTTGCTGGTTATTTAAAGCCAGAAAATAATTTTAGAGTGTAAGCATTTTTTTAGATAATATGGATATTTATTTTTAGATAATAAGGGTTATTAGCAAGACTCGTACCATTATAATAAGTTTTACTAATTAACCCATAGTTGGGGAGAAAAGAAACAAATTCATATATTTCCCAATGGTATTTGCGCACAAGTGAATATAACAAACTGAACTGGAATTCGAACTCAGCTTTCCGATTTCTCATCCCAAACCTTCGTCCATGACACCACTCGTACGTCCAACATTACAGCACCCGGTATTCCCAAACTGTCACCCATCGAAGTACTGACCAGGCTCACCGTTGCTTAAATTAGGTGATCGTACGGTGTTTCAACCCGATGTGGCCGTAAGCCTCCATCACTGTCGCATGTCCTCAGAGAGACTGAACTTATCACAGGCTTACGGCTACATTATGTTGAAATACATCTGAGCCGTTAGTCACAACGCACATCTGAAGTGAAAATAATCACAACAACTAAAGTTTTAATAAAGAATTATCTCGTTTTTTTACTCGTCAGGCTTGTACATTTGTGCAACGTTTTCCCGTCAATGAAGGATTATATATTGACCTAGTTCACTTATATATTTGTTTAACCTAGTTTGAAGTTCATATTATTGACCTAGTTCAAACTTATATATTGACCTAGTTCCTTAGTTCCTACTTCATTATATTGACCTAGTTCAATTATATATATTGACCTAGTTCACTTATATATTGACCTAGTTCACTTATATATTGACCTATATTCACCTTTCAGCAGATATATTGACCTAGTTCAACCTTTCATATATATATTGACCAATAGTTCACCTAGTTCATATATTGACCTAGTTCACTTATATATTGACCTAGTTCACTTATATATTGACCTAGTTCAATTATATATTGACCTAGTTCACTTATATATTGACCTAGTTCACTTATATATTGACCTAGTTCACTTATATATTGACCTAGTTCACTTATATATTGACCTAGTTCACTTATATATTGACCTAGTTCACTTATATATTGACCTGTTCCGTCCTAGTTCATTATATATTGACCTGTTCAATTCCATTATATATTGACCTAGTTCACTTATATATTGACCTAGTTCACTTATATATTGACCTAGTTCAGGCGATCTCACATGGGAACAGATAGCAACAGATAAGTAAATAGCATTATCTGAATTTGTGAATAGATAATTCTTTTTTTTCATTTGAAAATTATTTTCTTTTGACTATATAAAATTAAAGCTCTAATCTTATAGTGATTTTCTAAGCGAGGTTTAGATGTGGCACAAGGCCGAAAGTATGCGACACTCAGTGAGGAACGAACTCATGACAGCTGTAACTGATCTAGCAAGACAAACTTTCTAACCATTACACCACGTCGAGGTGCCCCCAAATTCTAATCTAATCTAATATAGATAGATAGATAGATAGATATTATATATATATATATATATATATATATATATATATAGAGAGAGAGAGAGAGAGAGAGAGAGAGAGAGAGAGATAGATAGATAGATGATAAATAGAAAAGAAAGAAAGAAAGAAAGAAAGAAAGAAAGAAAGAAAAAAAAGATATATAATTCGGTGTTCTTGTTATTTTTTATTTTTACAAAACAGTGCTCAATGTAAATTCACAGAGCATGAATATTACAAATTAACTGGTTTAAAATGTTTTTCGCTACACAGTAATAACCATGTTTCAATTTAATTAAATTTAAAGTTTTACACTTAAAGTTTTTAGCTTCCATTTTTGAGACATGGTTATTACTGTGTAGCGAAAAAGCCATATTTTAAATCAGTTAATTTATAATATATATATATATATATGTGTGTGTGTGTGTTCCCAAGATACTGTTTTAACGAGAGATAATATCCCAAACAATTAAGAAATATGTTGTACTTTGTACCTCTGCTGAGTGAGTACCAAATTTAATTAAAATTGTACAAGAGTTTCTTAATCTAAAGCCGTTCTTCCGTTTTACGGCATTTTTAATAGCAAATTCATTATTTGTTTTCAATACACATTCTTATATCAAACCGTGTATATAAACAATATATTATATTCCATCTGTTATAGGAGTTAAAAATAATAAACCTGCATAACGCATTATAACAATATTATTAAATAAATTTAAATATACATAAACCAACATATATTTATACAATTCACTATGTTACATTAGAAAATTTTTATAAACAAACAAATCTTGGATGTTTGGCAGGTGCTTGATAAGTGATGACGCTGTGTGGGTGTCTAATCTATTTCGCTGGAAAATTGTGTCACATAACTTGAAGGTTCTTAAATAGATGCACGCTGGTTTGCTGCCGTTACGTATTTTGAAATAAATGTCATTAATAAACAATTATGTATAACAAAAAATATAATTATTATTTTCAAAGAAATACCTAGAAAATAATAAAAACCTACGTGCACAAAAAGGAGGTATCCATACTACATGTTATTTCAGTTACGTATTTTGAAATAAATGGGATTAATAAACAATTATGTATGATAAAAAATATAATTATTATTTTCAAAAAAATACCTAGAAAACAATGAAAACTGAGTGCACAAAAAGGAGGCATCCATACTACATGTTATTTCAGTTACGTATTTTGAAATAAATGGGATTAATAAACAATTATGTATGATAAAAAATATAATTATTATTTTCAAAAAAATACCTAGAAAACGATGAAAACTGAGTGCACAAAAAGGAGGCATCCATACTACATGTTATTTCAGTAAAACCCTAGAACAATGATAGGCCTACGTCATTCTGCTATTGTTCATTTAATGTTCGCTTTGAAAGTCTCTTGTTTGCTAATCTAACGTCTATCGTTGGATTTACAATCGAATTCCACTAAGAAAATATATAAATTGTTAAAACTATTAAATTTATTTCCATGATATCATATTGATAATTTTAATATGTTGAAAGTTTTGTCCTTTTTATGTTATTAGTCTGCGTATCAAGGATTGCATTTTCACAAACTTTTCTATTTATTAATTTATTATTGCCTGTATTTTAAGTAATATTGGGTAATGTGAGTAATAATAACACTCAGCTACAAATGTTTGTTTTTTTAATGCTGTAAGGGATATCATAGCTAATTTTAAACAATTGCATGGCGCTAAATTCGAATATCATAATCATTTTTCTCAGGTTTATTGCTTCAGATGATGGGCAAAGGAAAATTGATTATTTTAAATCATTTACCTGAAAAACGAAACAACTTCTTCTATGCAAATCAAATAAATTTTTAACTGTGAGGTAAGAAAAAAGTACATCAAAACAGAAATATGTTAGTTAAATATGAAGTTAAAAATTAAAAAAGAACAATCACGATTAAGAACTTTCTCGAATGATCCAGTTTCGGCCTTCTTCAGGCTTCAACGATAATCTGCCTTCATTCTTTATATCCCATCGCCCTTGATATCTGTTTTCCATGATCTCCTCGTTTATCACATATATCGCCACAGTTTTCTGAAAGGCTGCCCAAATGTCTATGCAGCAAATGTAGTTTAATACTTATGTTATCATCAAGCTCCAGACAGTTTGCTAACAGCCTGTCAACTAGATCCCTATAGACGTCTATCAATGATTTAGTACTGATTGAATACAGTAATTGTAGCACAAGGCCGAAAAAATGTGGGGAGATGGGTCAAAGCTGGTCGACACTATCTTATAACGAGCTTATTAGAATCACTATCCATTAATTTGTTACAATTTACTCATTCACTATAAAAATCTATCCATCACAAAGCGCTCCTAGATACACCAAAATGCATCATACACACATGGCACCTACTGGAAAACACCCCATGACTTAAAATTTCAATATGTACAATTGTATAAAAATTCTATCAATGTCATTATATGATGGGAGGCGGGTGATGTATATATAATTTCTTTTTTTACTGAAATTAAAAAAAAATCAATTACCTTGCAACCAACTAAAATACTTACAACTGCTATAAATAAAAAGCAGAGAACTTTCAGTTTAATCTAAATATATTTTCTTAGTACATTTTAAATAAAAAATGTTACAATAAAACACAAAATTCATATGGGTCTTAACTGGAAAAAGAGCATTTTTCTAACAAAATTTTTTATATAAATATTTATCGACAATTTTTCCTAATTATTAAAACTGCGATAAATTTACAAGCAAAAAGATGGGTAATTTTCATTCCACCTTTTTTTTTAAATAAAATAATTAGAACAGACACTTTACACACAAAGAATATTATTAACTTATAATATTCTAAAAAATAAATAATTTTTCCAATGGAAAAATTAAATTTAAACCCTTGTAGCTTAAATATTTTTCACTAAAAATATACTTTTCTCTGTTGAAAGAGAAATATATACCACTCTTCTGGAAGAATATATTTAGAAAAAATCATTCTGTGTTCAAAGAAAAATTTTAAAATAAACATTTGAGTTGAATTAAAAATTTAACGTTGTCAATAAAATAATAACTTGGCCTGATTTTAAATGGTAACTAAGTCTAATGAATTTTTCATTTCAACTTAAGTCTTTGCCAGTTTCAACCATACAAAGATTAACAATCAAACAATGTGCTATCGAAGCCTCTTACGAAAATGGACGTTCAAACAGAAATGCACTTGGCGAACTTCGCGATGATTTTTGTTAACAGAATCGACCAACCGTGAGTACATTTGTAAATGACGTAACGTTGTTGTGGAGAGGTTCAATTCCTGTGCACGATGGCGAATAGAGGTGTCCTGGATTTTCGGCTACATTCTCGTGCACTGCGGCAATGTTTTCAGCTAAACGGCGTAAACGACCACGCAATGGTGTTTTTACATCTGCCACTGACCCAGTTTGTTTGAATTTACGAACAATTTTTTTCCAATTGCACTCTTGAAACTTTAGCACGTTGTTTGATCTTTCCATGTTTGAAATTGCCAAAGACTTAAGTTGTTAAATCTGAAAGAAAAAAAAAAAAAAATCATTAGACGCTTAGACTTAATTCACAAATTATTTTTTTTCTAGTTATTAGAACACCTTTATATATATATATATATATATATATATATATATATATATATATATATAAAGGGTGTTATATATATATATATATATATATATATATATATATATATATATATATATATATATATATATATATATATATAGGTAGCACAATTTTCAAACAGAAACATATTTAAACCGGATATAAGAGACCCGGATATAAGAGAAACCCGGATATAAGAGACTTCTTCTCCAGACCCGACAACTCTCTTATATCCGGGTTACCTAAAATATATCATTTTTATTCAAAACTTTAGTTCGATTTTGGAACAGTAAAAAAAAAA